AACTCGACACGACACGAGTCACGAAAGCCTTACAGAAAGATGAAAAAAAATAAAAGAAACTTTAAATTCAAGGTTTTTCGACACAAAGAAKTAAAGTTACAAAACGTAGTTTATAATTCTTTTGCAACGATTGTTGCATGATGAAAGTTAACGAAATAAGATTCTAAATAATATATATTGAATAACAAAGTAATTACTTAATTGTTATTGTTATTTTTGATTGAATTTCTAATTATTATCTGTTTTTTAATGAAATTAGAATTTTTGTGTATTTTGGACAACAAAAATTAGAATTTTATTTTTTGAAAATGCAGCCCATATTTTTGAAGTCAAACATAGACATATTATAGCAAAACATGAATTCAATTCAATATGTTGGAACCTTTTATATAAATGTTTCCTCTGTTAATTTAGAGCCATTTTTAATAGTCACTAATATTTAAATAACTCTTTTGTTTTTGCTTCAAACAGCGCTGACAAAACTCAACTAATAATSTGAAAAGTRRGATAAAAATAGAAACTTCATTTCAATAATCTTAGAAGCAAAGCAAAAGTTCATGTTTGGATTCAGTGGACTTGAGTTAGAGCGGAAAYAAGCTTTGAAAGGACATCCGAAAAGACCTAAGCTCAAGTCAKAAAACGWAGAAAAATCAACCAATTATTTGTTTTCCTAGAGGTAATGACTGCTGTGTTAGACACAAGCTCCACTAGTTCAACAAAACAAGACTTCTTTTTAAGTAAAACGTCGTAAAACAACATTTTAATTTTGAAATCTTTTGTGCTCAAGACTACAAAATTCCCTTATTAGGAAATCACGTGACAAACACTCGTGCCAGGTCTCTTGAGAGGAAAATTGGATTTCTCCTTTTTTTTCGTTTTCTGTTCTAATGAACGATGTTGAAACTTTTAAATTCCAAGATTTTTTWAATGTTTTTCCGGATTTTAATAGCAACCTTATAAGGTACGTTCCATAAATCTGTCCGATTGTGAGATTAAGTTGTYTGATCGTTGGAGCGTGGGCGAGCGTTTTTTTATTGAATGCAAGCTAGCTATAAAAGACATGCAGCTTCGGCTCATTGAACATAAATTGAGCCCATTTGAAGCTCGCCGACGTCTGGGTGAAAAGGAGCTAGAAGTACAGCTAGTAAAGTACAGTTCTTCGCTGCGACAGACGGATAAATCTTCTCTTCAAAAAAGGTTTCATTTTATTATAATTTTTGTGAAATGGCCATTTCCTATTATTTTTATATGATTGATATMTCAGATGATTTTAAAGCTTGCTTTACTTATAACTCTTATAAAACAAAAAATATGGATTATCACATTTTTATGATGACGTCACATTGAGATTCTTGCTAAGGATTGTGGTCAAAGTTTGTAGAAAAGGATGAATAGAGGGAAAATAGCACTAGAAATGCATTTTCATTAGCAAAGAATCCAAAGAAATGCAAGAAAGCCCGATAAATAGAAAAAGGGCAAACATAATTATATGACACTTATAAAAACAATTTCAAGCCTGGAGTTTGAAGAGGAGGGCGATAAAATTAAAATTAAAATTGCTTTTCGGCTTTTAATCTTAAAAGACAAATAGTGCTATTGTAATTGGAAGTAAATTTAGGAAACGGTTTGAACGCAACAGGAGTTTAAATATGTTTTTCTATTTT